CTTAGATTCATATCCAGAGGCTGGAAATTTAATGCTACATATTAGCTCCTACTTTAACTCTACATTGCAACTGTTATTTCTATTCAGCAACTAGAGCCATGTTTTTTTCTTTATGCACACCAATTAATAGCTGGAATTAGGAATGTTTAGGGGTACCTTCTTTTAAAGATATGTGACAATTTTGCTTCATGTTTACATTTTTTAAAAACTTCCATAGAATCAAATCATCAAATGTGCCAAAGTTGACAAATACCTTAAAACAGCATACACGTGGAATGGCATTTGTGTACCAAAATTGCCTGAAGAGACTCTGCTACATCTACTACAAGGTATGCCTCATTTGTTAACTGCACCTTTGTCAAATACAAACCTACATACGAATGAACTCATATTAGTGGGCAATCCAAGGAGTAAGTGAAGGAATCTGGTTCAAGAAAACTGTACTTGGGGAAGGGATAAAAGCATCCAGTCCCATTAACAAAGGCCTTTCTAGGTCTTCATCATCAATGTTTTTAAAGAGAAAAATATAGGGAAAGATCCTTTCACTGTTTTTAGTCTATCTCTATAACACTCTCTTTATGGATGTTTACCAGTGTGTCAGTCTAGGCATTAATGAAATACATTAAGCATAATTTTAATTATCATGTAGAGCTCAAATAATTGAGATTCCTGGTCATGCAGGCAACCTTAAAAGTGATGATATTTGCTCAGTGGAAGATAATGAGGTGTTCTCTTTAGACTTTAATGTATTAAAAATGGAAGCCAAAGAAACATTTAAAAATACTGTAGTTTTAGAAGAGGTAGCTGTGTTAGTCTGTACTAGCATGCTATTGTACACTGAGTCTTGGCTATATTGAGAAATTACCAACATTTTATATCCGATAATGTCCTAAGAATCATCAGCTTATATTAAGTCCACTGACATGGGTTCTAGACATATATTTTTTATCTCAGCTGTCTCTTTCTGGATTCTTGTTCTTCCTCAGAATGGCAACTCTAGGGACTCAATATAAGACATCTCAATGGACTCAATATAAGCTAAGGATTCTTAGGACATTACCAAATGTCCCATCTGCTGTAATTCCCAACTACGGTGGTGCCCCGCATGACGCCGATAATCCGTTCCAGGAAAATTGCTGTACAGTGAAATCGTCGTCATGCGGGAAAATCCCCATTGGAATGCATTGAAAACTGGTTAATGTGTTCCAACGGGGAAATACCTTGTCATCCAGCGAAGATCGCCCATAGAAAACCGCCGATCAGCTGTTTAAAACCCCTGTCTTGCGAAGCTTGTCCGGAAAACACCCATTTTGCGAAGGAAAGCCAGCCATTTTGTGAAGGGAAGCCATTTTGCGGAGCTGGAATCGAACAAACGGTTCGCGAAGCAAGGACCTAATCATCGTAAAGCGGATTTCCCCAATAGGAACCATTGTTTTGCGATCACTATAGCGATTGCAAAAAAGTCGTCATACTGCGGTTTTGTCGTACTGCGGGGCACCACTGTATATTTCCTTACTAATTACCCAATGCTACCTCACAAATCTAATCAGAGATTATGATACTCATTATGGATGTTGTCCCTCTGTTATCTACAGCCTGGGATTATTTAATTTACCAATCATTGTCACTGTTTACTGAAAATGCTTCCTGGAAGGGGAAATGAATATCAAGAGGAGTCTGAATAGTCACTGCCAGGTGTCAAATGCCACATCATCAACTACTTATGCCCAGGAAACAATCAATCTCTTTGTTTCAGGGCCATGTATAAGTATTTGCCATGCAATCCCACTCTCATGTCTGAAGAAGTGGACTTGTTCACAAAAGTTCATATTAAAATATAACAGTCTTTAAGGTGCTTTTCTCTTTTTTTTCTCTTTTTGTTTTGTTTTTGCCTGATATGAAAAAATATTTTCATTCTAATTTGTGATTTCTCCCTAAATTCTCCACATATTCAGATACTGAAGACATCTGTTCAAATTTCCCATAACAATGCCACACATTAAACAATGACAGAATAATGTAGAGGAAACATAGTTTCATGCTGTCAAATTGAAACCGACTTATAAGCATACTTTCAAGATAAGTGAGATATTTAAGGAGTGTTTTTACCAGTTCCAATATCCCAGTGAATTTCCATGGCCAAGTGGGGATTTGAACCCTGGCGTCCAGAGTCCTAGTCAGTCACTCTATCCACTACACCAAACTGGATACCCTATGGGGAAACATAAGGCATTTAAAAATGTAGCCTTTATTGCTTTTTCCCAACGACACCACTCAGTTCTTTCTTTTTGCCTTTGCTGTATGAAGTTTTTCTTCCAAAATACTCTAGGACATATCTGGTCGTTCAATTCTAGGACATATCTGGTCGTTCAATTTTTTAAAATAGCACACATGCTTTTGTGAAGCTGCAAAACCAAACTGAAATGCAGTACAATGAATCTGTATAAATATTATCCAGAACAACACTAAATAATATTTAATAGAATAAAATATATTTCTTTTAAAATTACTCTGTGTAAGTTAAGTTATGTAAGATCCTCAAGTATGCTGTATTCCTGAAGTTTGTTGTAATTTTTTTACAGATAAAAACAAATCGACTTTGCACCATGATCTTTCCTGTAAGAACTTAGTCAAGTCTAATAAACAACTAGTACCATTTTGCTGGTATCATTCCACAAAAGATGGAGTGAAAATTTCCTACTTCCACTTCACTTTTATTTTTTTTAATTAATTTGGAAAGGGGGAGATTTAATAGATATTACACAGCCCATCTGATGTAGCATGTACTCAATCCAGTTAATTTGTTGTTCTTGTTACATGTCATCAAGTCACCTTTGGTTTATGGTGACCTTATCAATGTGACCTCCAAAATGTCCTATCGGTAACAGCTTTTCTAAATTTAAGGCCATGGTTCCTTTATGGAGTCAATCCAGCTCACGTCTTCTTTTCTGCCTGCCTTTTCCCTATTAATTATCTGTATATAATGTGCATTCTGACTTCTTAAAACTCTCTGGCAGTTTCACACAAATTTGTTTTACACAGACAAAATACTTCTGTTTCCTCACACTAAAATTTATTTTATGTGACTAAAGAAAAGCAGCAGGATTTTCAAATTGTAGGGGGGAAAGAACCAGAAATGCCTGACATTCAAATTAAGAATAGTCTCATTATTCCATCAGTTGTGGAGGGGGAAATGTGAAAACTTTAAATGATAGTGCTTTACTTCCTCTTCTATAAAGATCAAAGACTCAACATATTCTGAAACAAGAAAAACCTCAACAGTGAAAACTTAACAGATGCAGGTAACTGCAACAGCAGCTCACAAGATGTGTTCACTACAAGATCATACTTATCCAGCAAAACAACTGATCAACATATCAGAGAAGAAGCTTCATCTGTTTTCACATAGGATGAATCATTTGACAAAAATGTGTTTCAAATCACATAGTAACTTTCTTGAGGTAATTTATTCAACTAAATTATAAAACAATACAAACCACTAAATTAGCAGCACTACATCAAAATCATTTTCTTCATAATTTCCTATTTTTTTGATAAAATGTGAAGGTCATACAAAAAATACTGACTTCAGCAGCATGGTTACGGTATGACAAACAACATTTACAAGTTAGTTATTGGAAAAGCTAGATCTATCCTGTATCATCTGCATTAACTTCAGAGAGATAGTAGTTGTAGTGTGTGGTTTCATCTCTGGAATAACTTGTCCAGCACAGCTGCGCAATGTAGACACACTAATAAGAGCAACAAGTTGAAAAGAATTTTGGTGCAACGCCGCTTATAAAACTAATCTTATACTAATGTATTCAGTGATAATAAGGATGCAAACCACAGTACAGTATCTCAAAAAATAAGTTAAAACCACAGCACATGAAATGAACCACCTAAGCATCTTACTCCAAGCAAACAAAGAACAGTATGCAGTTTAGTAACAATAACATTCACTGACTTATGACCTCCCTCACTTTCTTAATTCATATATACATATCCCATGCTAGCATGCCCAACAGCCTAGTACGTATTCCTCTTTAGAACCACTGATTGTCTGGATAACTCGGAGTTACTCCTAAGTCTCCGCTGCTTTTTATTAAGGCCCCCCTCCTTTCCTAGCTACCAAAGTGCAGAGCGAGACAAGATCTCTTTCCACTGCCTCCCTCCAGGGTTGCACAATTTTAATTTCTAATATGGTCCCAGTTCAGTGCCCACCCCCCTTTGTTTATGTCTGAGCCCTCAGATTCGGTCGTTCAACTAACACTTCCCTGTACTCCCAGCTTTTAGACTGCAGACGAAGCCCCCCCCGTCTGTTTCTCCAAGTGGTGTCTGCCTTCAGCCTTTGCTGGCTGATGCCACAGGCGGCAGATCCTGTCATAACTATCTTTTCTGCCTTCCACTCGATGTGGTTTCGGTGCCCTTTCCTGCGCTCACGCAGTGCAAGGGTTCCGACGACCCTTCCCCCGACCAGAGAGAGAGGCATCTGCTCCCCTCCACTCCAGTGCGAGTCGCCTTCCACTCCGCTCAGCGTGAGGCTGGAGAAGATTATTCTTCAAGCCTCCTACTCTTGAGGGGGTCAAGACCTCTTCCCCTCAGGCCAGACGGGCAGACAGAATTCCCTCCAAATCAAAAGGTAGGACTCAAATCACTACAACTCCCACCCACCCCCACTCTCCATTTGGATTTTGAGCCCCAAAGGGGTGGAGCCCCGTCAACCCTCCCACCCCAATTCGGGGGTCAAGCCCCCCCTTTGCCTTCAGCCTCCCCGGGCTATGTGAGGACCCCTCTCTGTCCAAGAAATGGGACTCTTAATTACCCCCATGTACGGTTTAAGCCCCAAGGGGGTAAAGCCCCCTCCTCCCCCCGGTCCCTTTATTTACCGCCATCATCAGCACGCGCGAGCTGTCACCAAGCGCGAGACACCCCAACCGGTGCCTGACACGCCCCCCCAGCACGCCATTGGCTGGCAACTTCGCTCCGCCCCGCACTGTCTTTGGTTGAACCGCACGCCACACATCCTTTCTTTTCCACCCCTAGCGAGGGATGCCTTACGACTACTCGCTATCCAACGGTGCTGTTTACGCTATCTGCGCAAGGTGGGTTCCCAAGAGTTTTCTGGGACGGTTCTTTTCTTCTTAACGTCATTTACGTATTGGGAAAGAGCGGGAATCTCTCCCTGATTTACGCTAATGACGCGTCAAATGATGTGGGTTCTTTATCTAGAATCAAAGGAGTCTCTAAAACAGCTTGCTCTAGCAGCGTAACTAAAATAAACGTTCGCATTCGCTCTCTATTTAGCTACTAGTTTACGACATTTGCGGAGCTTGGCAAATCCCAGCGTCTTGCTCCAAACCAAAAGCGTTTCTTAGGAACTGGGGAATACGTCAACTCCGTCCCGGAGTTTATGATATCCGAAGCTTTGTGAAGCTGGGGGTGGGGAGCAGGGAAAAGGGGAGTTTAAGTTTGGTTGAACCACAGGAGGGTAAATAAGGATGTTTCAGAGACAAAGAGACTCTTAAAGTCGCAGCGCCCCATTTCCTTCAGAGTCCCCCTGTTTCCCTTCTCCAGAGGCTCGTGGAGGGCCTTGCTGAGGAGAGTGGAAGCCAAGGTACGGTCGCTTTTGGACGGAGCGGCCGCAGAAGCCTTTTAGAGGGAGGGACGTGGCTGATGGAGGGTTTGTGGGCCGGGAGGGCAAGGGAGAGGCTTTTCGCCAAAGGCGTCCCGAGACCAGGGCAGGTTCAGACGGCCTATTATGTCAACACACGTGTACATAACGCGCGCGCTACCCTGAGGGAATTACTGTATTATTATGACCTGCCAATGGCCGTATCGTGCCAGGAATGGGTAACTTCCGTGTCAGAAAGGCTTCTCTTGTTTGCGAGTCTACGGTTTGGCTGGAGTGTGTTTTTTTTTGTTTTGTTTTTTTCTTTTCTTCCCCAACTGATTCCTTTGCGGTAGTCTCTTGGCTGGAGTGTGTTTGTTTTTTTTGTTTTTTTTGTTTTTTTGTTTTTGCTTCCCCAACTGATTCCTTTGCGGTAGTCTCGAAATTGCTGCTCTCTTCAGAGGGCCGCTACTTACAAAAACTTCCGAGATAAATATAACATCGAGATGCCGCTTCCTCTGGGCAGAAAAAAAAAGGGACAAGTGTTCCGAGAATAGTAGAAGCTTTACTGTCTGGAGGGAAATTTCATGAATGAGACGGCCGTTGCGCAATAAACGCCTTGTCGCCATCTCGTAATTGCCTTGATATTTCTATTTGCTTAAAATTTTACTTGTAAAATGCCGACGCTGATTTTAATTTTTTTAAAAATTTTTATCTTGTGTGTACTACTGTTTTATTGTGCGTGGGGTTGTTTGTTTTGTATAGTCTAAGAGTTCTGGTTACGCTATGTGTCAATATAATTTACCCAGTGCTTTGTTATGCTGCTAGTAAGTAAATACCCTGGATCTGACTCACTGAGCCTCATAATTATTCTATGGATACTCCCTAAATATACTATCAGATCACAGTTCTCATTAGTTCACAGACTACAGTGGAAAAAATAATGGCTCCAGCAGCTCACCTAGCACGTTGTGACTCACAGTCCAATGGCAAAAAAATATGGAGCCCTTCCTAATCTGCCATCAAATCCCAGCTTGCATCTGTGACTCTAACATGAACACTGCACATCTAAACTTTGCTTAACATCTAGCCTAAAATCACAGGATTACTTAGTACAGTACATTGTGACAGTTTTTCTTGGCATACTAATCAAGGCTAATGCAAATACTGTATGTCTTAACTGCTTTGGCATTTTTCTTATGGACCAATGTTAAGAATCATCATCATCATCTTAGAATTACAGAGCTGGAAGGGACCATATGGATCATCAAGTCCAGCCTCTGTCAAGGAGGTGCAGTGGTGAATCAAATTCCCAGCCTTTCTCTACCTAAGCCACTGAGCTATTCAGCAGTTCTAACTTGCTTTACTTTCTGCAGATAAACAATTGTTTCACAGAATACAGATCAGGGCATTAAATCTTACAGATCCTTGTTACTTTTAACATAAACTTTACTCTGTTTTCAAGAAGATATATCATGTTCTTTGAATGTGCTAGGCCCACCCATTCCATTCTTCTGTTGATCACAGAAACATGATTGTGTGAAGATAGAAGGTTACTATACCTGGGTAATCTCCACATTATCTGAAGGGGGGTTCCAGTGGTCAACTTTGAAATGGTTCTTACCCTGGCCATTCCAGGGTCCGGGCCACTCCGGTGGAGTATCAGAGTTCAGTATAACCCCTCTCCTTCCAGTAGGGGGATAATGTCTTCTCGAATATCCACACAGTCCCACTCCCTGGGGGATTCCCCTGTCTCCAGGAACGCTCTCTGTTGGTTCTCCCAAATTCTCCATTCTAACCTCTCCCTCCGTTCTCTTTCCACTCTCTCTCTCTTTCCTCTCTCAACTTCCTCCTCCACTCCTTAGTCTCTCGTTCACCCCAGTATGAGGGTTTGGGGTTTAACTCACACCTCCTCTGGGCATCAGCTTCCTCCTTCGGGACACGCAGTTTCTCTGTCTTCCCTGTCCATGGATGTTCTACGCAGATCCACTCCCAGCCTCCTGGTAACTCTCCTTCCCCCCTTTTTATATCCCATAACCCCGCCTCCACTATCTCCCGCCTTTTTTCTCCCGTGCCCACCAAGATAATCCCGGGTTCTGTAATCATGAGTCTTTTCAAATCTCCCTCCAAATTCCCTGGGTCCTGTCCGGGAGGTCTCATCTTCTGGAGTGGGGAAACTGGTGGGGTCTGGCTCTCTTTCTCAGCAGTCGGTGGGAGGGACGGCATTCCCGAGAGAGGGGTCTCTCTCTCCTTCTTCCACACACACCCATCCAAGAGGGCCGTCCACTCCACCTCACTCTTCGCCCATGGACCCTGCCAAGAAAAATAAGTCTACGTTAGCATGTTCTTCCCCATTTCTGTATTGTATGGTGAGGGTAAAGGGTTGGTAAAGATACCAACGAGTGAGATGGGGGTTAGTGTCTTTCATCTAGGCTATCCACTGTAAGAGGAATGGTCTGTCACCAGGGTAAAGGGCCCCCCAACAAATAATACTTGAGAACATGAGTAGCCCATTTTATAGCTAGGGGCTCTCTTTCAATCACTGCATATTTTCTCTCTCAAGGGGTCAATTTGTAACTCAGATATAAGACTGGATACTCTACTCCATTGTGTACCTGAAACAACACTGTCCCCAGACCACAATCCAATGCATCAGTAAACAGGACAAAGGGGAGATTGAAATTGGGGGTAAACCTGGTCGGAAGTTCACACAAAATAGATTTAGGAGTTTGGAAAGCCCTTTCTTGAGATTTTTCCCACTGAACCCACCGGGGTGCCCACTTCTTAGTCAGGTCCGTCAAAGGAGTGGCCAGGGTGGAGAATTGGGGTATGAATTGTCGATAGTACCCCACTAGCCCCAGGAATTGTTGCACCTCTCTCTTGGTGTGTGGTTGGTACCATTGGGTTATTTTTGTCACTTTTTCTTCCTGGGGTTGTTATCTCCCCATTACCCACCTTGAATCCTAAATATTCCACCTTGGCCAGGGCTATTTTGCATTTCTTGGGGTTGGCTATCAGACCAGCTCTTCTCAACTCTGTTAATACCCTACGTAGGTGGGTAAGATGTTCCTCCCAGGAAGTGCTATATATGATGATGTAATCAATATAGGCTGCCGCACAATCCTGCACCGGTTTTAAGACATCCATGAGGCGCTGGAATGTTGCGGCTGCCCCATGCAGCCCGAAAGTTATTTGTGAGAATTGGAAAAGCCCAATGGGCATGGAAAAAGCTGTTTTTTCCTTATCCTGTTCTCTTAAAGGTATCTGCCAGTAGCCTTTCATCAGGTCTATGGATGAAAGGTATCTGACGCCCCCTAGCTTGTCTAGGAGGTCTCCCACCTTTAGCATCGGATATACATCAAATTTAGAGACCATATTGACCTTCCAATCTATACAAAACCTTAAGGACCCATCAGGTTTGGATAACTGTACCAGGGTCCCTTCAATGGTTCAATGACCCCTAGTTTCAGCATCTCTTCTACCTCCTTCTCTATCACGCTAGCTAGTTGTCTTGGCCAGGTTCTTCCTGTTGATCTCACCACTACTCCAGGGAGGGTTTCTATACAGTGTTCAACCCCGGAAGAACATCCTGGTTTTGTCGAAAACACATCAGGAAATTCCTTCTCCAAATTCCACACTTGGTTTAGCTTTTGTTGTCGTACCCTCGAGTCTACTAACACTAGAGGGCTAGTTTCCTCCCCGGTTAAAGCGGCTTCTGGCCCCAGTTCTACATTTTCACAATCTCCAAACAAGGCTTCTCTATCAATCCATAATTTGAATAAATTCACATGTAAAACTTGCAGTTTCTTTTTCTTATCCTCCATTTTCACCTCGTAGTCTACGTCACTTAACTTTTGTGTTATCTCATATGGCTCTTGCCATTTACCGAACAGCCTTGCTGATTCAGTGGGTAGCAGAACTAACACCTTTTGACCGGGTTGGAATTCCCGGGGTTTCACCCTGTGATCATATCTCTCCTTCTGGTAGCCCTGGAATTTGCCTAATGCTTCTTTGGCCAACTTCCAAGCAGTTTGCAAGTTTTCCCTCAGGTCTATGATTTATCTCAGCACCAGCTTAGAATGGTCAGTCCCTTCCTCCCATTTCTCTCTTAAGAGGTCTAGGACACCTTGTGGGGTTTTTCCATATAGCAGTTCAAAGGGGGAAAACCCCGTGGACAATTGTGGGACCTTCCTAATGGCGAAAATCAGGGGAGCTAGGAAGGTGTGCCACTGCCTAGGTTTCCCTTGAATTAATTTTTAAAACATCCCCTGTAAGGTTCGGTTGAATCTTTCTACCAGGCCATTTGCCTGGGGGTGGTAAATTGATGTTCTCATGGGCTTCACCCTCGGCAGTTCCCACATTTGTTTGAAGGTGGTGCTCAAAAAATTTGTCCTCTGGTCGGTCAATACCTCCCAGGGAAACCCCATCTTTGAAAACACCCCCACCAGTTCCCTGGCCAGTACCTTATCTATGGCCTCAGAGTATCTGGTGGCA